GGGGCTGCAATATCACGTTGGACTTTTACAGTCAGTTAACTCCCTTGCCTCGGGAAGATGATCAGTCACGTGTGTGTATATTTCATCGAAACTGAACAGTCAGTGAGGACTCCAGATCGGAAATATGCACTGGTACGGGTTTTGGAAAAAAGATGGCGGCCGCCTCGAAATGACCACCTTGTCATGTTTTCGATCTGGAATTCTCATAAAAAATCATTTTCGATGAAATAAAGTACACGTAGGATATGACCCCAATTTTCTTTCACAATTCCACGTCTTTTTAAAGAAAATAACAAAGGATATTTTAGAGTTGTTTACTGACTCACCATATCAAGTCCTATCAATTTGGAACAGTATAAAAACAATGAAGCTTATTTGTGATGCACTCAAATCAAACACAAATCTATGGGTTTTCTTGCTTATTATTACAACGTTTCACAGCTGAACATATAAACGTAAATGTTATTTTTTGGTCTTTACCGAAGGTTTGTTTTGCGGAATGTATGTGCATGTAGTTAGGTGTATTTTTTGCGGAATGCAAACATAGGCCAATTTGGCGAGAGCGCTTGAATTTAGCAATGTTCATGGCACCCGTGTGTGTGTGTGTGTGTGTGTGTGTGTGTGTGTGTTTGTGTGTGTGAGACACCCGTGAAGATCCGGTGTAGAATAGGTCTTCAGCAACCCATGCTTGCCGTAAAAGGTGACTCTGCTTGTCGTAAAATGCGACTAACGGGATCGGGTGGTCAGGCTCACTGACTTGGTTTGATGCATGTCATCGATCCCGATTGCGTGGATCGATGTTCATGATATTAATCACTGGATTGTCTGGTCCAGACTCGATTATTTACAGACCGCCGTCATATAGCTGGAATATTGCTGAGTGCGTCGTTAAACAACAAAGCAAAGTGTGTGTGTGTGTGTGTGTGTGTGTGAGACCCGAATTTGGAGTTACACACACCACCTTATGAGATCCTTGACCCAAGCCGTCTCTCCTCCGTTCGACACGCATATGCAAAGGCAATTGAAATGGCTAATCTCGTCAAAATGCTTCCACCACAATCACGTCAAATCCATTTTCGTAAAATGGAAATAGTATATGAGTGTGAGGTATTAATAAGAATGTAGCATAATTACGAATTAAGTGTTACTTATCTGTCGATAGGTAGAATAGGTCTTCAGGAACCCATGTCTGCCGTAACAGGATTAATTCCCCATATTAGTTTTGGTGACGTGAAATTGGTTTTATAGTACATGCTCGTGTATGTGCGTGTGCGTGTGCGTGTGCGTGTGCGTGTGCGTGTGCGTGTTTTGCTGCTGGTACAGGTCCAGGCGTATCTCGGTTTTATAGTGCTTACCCACTGAGATACCATACACAGAGAGAGAGGGAGAGAGAGAGAGAGAGAGAGAGAGAGAGAGAGAGAGAGACTCACCACTGACGCGATCCTAAAGCCTGTGAGAACAACATACAAATAAAGTACATGTTTCCAGCGGTCTAACTTGAAATTGAAAAGAGAGCGAAACGAGATACCCAGAAACTTTGATAGATTTTTCTTGGCCTCTTGCGTTGCTGTATAATACGTATGGAGAGACACGTGTTTTGTGGCAACTCCGCCTCATAGACAGTACATCGGAGGCCAATGCATTCGTTGGGTGTCGGGAGTTGTTGTACGGCTAACATAACATGAACGGTGCCACAACAGTCCATAGAGTATTCTGCAACCAAGGCGTGAAGAGTTGACTCCCTTAGCTGCTCAGAGCCAAGGCGGCACTCTGGGCTTCGTCCCATATCCCTGTGAATTATTCAACGTGGCATTACACTCCAAGACAGGATTACACCTTCACTGGAATGTTCAGGTGTAAGTACGTCCATACTTTGTACACGTGTTATGAGAATGTCAGGACTGCTTGGCGTGTTTCGATATACTTCACAACAAATTAATCACAAGCATATGCATCCTTTAGACCCTCTCACATTTGTTTGGCAGAATGAAAGTGTGCTGTTAAGTTCAAAACCTGCGAGGCAACATTCTCATCCGACCAAGTGCTGCTAATCTTCAAAAAATGGAAGTCGTGCTGTTACTGGGGTAGCCGCATATGTCCCGACTGTGATGACATGTTTATTGAGTATAGCTGAGATCATATACATTAGTGAGTTGTTATGATACATACTTAGTGTGTGATCTGTCATGACATACTTAGCAAGTGAGCTGTAGTGATAAACGAGTGACGTGTGATATACTTAGCGAGTGAGCTGTGATGATATGCTATGTGAGTGAGTTGTGATGGTACACTTCGCGATGGTGTCTATGTTATAAGTAAATCGATATCTATTCAAACTGAAATGTAAACAGAGACAAGCAAGGTGAATATACATGCATTACACACAATGGTGCAAGTACTGTTGACTTTATGATAGCTTCCCGTAGCCTCATTCCATGTATATCTGACTTTGAGTCAAATCACTTCCCAGTGTTTTGCAGGTTTAATTTTGCTCATAATGATTGCAGTAATGTACAAGTCAACAAGAACAATGATGATTCTCTGCTTAGTGAACTTGAAGTCAATCCCTGGTACAAATACCCATGGAAGGAAGATAATAAAGATGTCTTTAAATCCAAGTTTAAAGACTTGTATGACCTCCTCAAAGATGAAATTGAACAGATAATTTCAACAGATGTTAATACTGCACTCTGTCGACTTGTGAATGTCTACCAAGAAGCAGCATCTATAAACAAGAGACTTTACTGTATTCCTTCAACCCATAATAAATCTAGACAGATCAGTCAAGCACCTTGGTGGGACAGTGAACTTGAAAACTTAAAGGTGAGGTGAGGTGAAATGGGGTTCAACGTCGCGTCCAAGATTATTGCACTTATATAGCGACGTGCATGTACGTGTGTGTGTTTGTGTGGCAGCTTGTACTAGTCCGGACTGATGCCGATTTAAAGTGCTAGCTCACGGAGATACCATGCCGCGGTTTAACATGAATACCCCACTCAGACACAGTATACTGACTCCGAGCCGACCAGTCCTTATTTTAGCCCCTAAATGCCGAGCGCCAGACAGGGTAACAACAAGTACCATCTTTTAACGTCTTTTGGTATGACGCGGCCGGGGATCGAACCCCGCACCTTCCGCTCTCCGGGGATCAAGGGTAAACTGTTCAACATAATTTCATCAATGTATTCAAGCTTTTAATTCAACTTGAAGACTGCGGAGGAGAAGGTGTTTTTATATAACAAGATTTTAAAAATGTTTCTGCCATAATGTTTGCAGATTATGTTTCATCTGTATCATATTCAGCAGTTCAACTACAAAAGAAAATTGATGCTCTTCACTTGTTCTGTTTATGAACTGGTATGAAAGTCAATCTGAAGAAGACAAAAGTAATGGTATTTAGAAATGGTGGTCCCCTAAGAAGTTATGAAAAGTGGTCATATAATGGTGAAAGCATTGATGTTGTTCCTTTTACATATATTTAGGAAATATGTTCACCCCCAAACTTGTGTGGACCCAGGCTCAAACATGTTTAGCTGCTCAGAGTTCCAAAGCTGTGTTTGCCATAAATAGGTATCAGAAGAAACTTGGTGATATTCCATGCAAAGATTTATTCAAAAATATTGATAGTATTGTAACTCCTATCCTGTGCTATGGCTCTGAAATCTGGGGTGTTAATTACAGCAAAATCATTGAGGATATTCAAGTTAAGGTGTGCAAATCAGTTCTTAAAGTGTCAAGAAATACATGTAATGTGAGGGTGCTTGGTGAGTGTGGTAGAGCTCCTTTACAGCTTACATATATGACAAGAGCTGTGAAGTACTGGTGCAGGTTGATACAACTGAGCCCTGAGAGACTACCATATCAGTGTTACAAGATGCTAGCTGTTCTGGATGATTCAGGTCGCACCACCTGGGCCACACACATTAAAAATATTTTATTCAGATTTGGATTTGGATATGCATGGATAGCACAAGAAGTTGGGGATAAAATGTTTTTATTTCCATGTTTAAACAGAGACTATTTGGCAACTTACAGCAAGCATAGAGTGTAAATATGAACAGTTTATCTGACTCTTATTCCTATAAACATTTTAAATCGCTACTAAATGTTGAATATTACTTAAATTCAACACTTCCATCTCACTTAAAAATGATTTTATCACGCTTCAGATGCAGTTACTTTCCAATAGCAGTAAATACTTGAAGATACCATGCCACACCATATGAAGAAAGACTCTGCTCTCTCTGTCTATCTAAAAATGAGTACTTTATTAAAAATGAATATCATGTATTATTAATTTGTGAATCCTACAGCTCCCTTCGTAATGCACTTTTAGATAAATATATTACCTCTAACCTTCAGCATAACTTTATCTCTATTATTTCCTCAGATGCATATGATACCTTATATAAAATATCTATTTTTCTTACCAAAGCTCATCAACTTAGGGTAAATAGTAAATAATCCACTGCGAATAAGTATAAAAAAATATTTTTTTTAAATGTAAATAATGTTAATTTTCCCAGTTTGTAAATATGTCATTTTGCGCAGGCTTTATGTATTCCTGCATATGTATGTATTTTGGGCCAGTGGCCTTTTATTGAATAAATTGTCTGTCTGTCTGTCTTAAATGTAAATGGGAACAAAATGTTTGTTTGTTGATGTTTAACGCCGCACTCAGCAATATTCCAGCTATACGACGGCGGTCTGTAAATAATCGAGTCTGGACGAGATAATCCAGTGACACATCATGAGCATCGATCTACGCAATTGGGATACGATGACATGCATCAACCAAGTCAGCGAGCCTGACCACCCGATCCCGTTAGTCGCCTTTAACGACAAGCATAGTCGCCTTTTACGGCAAGCATGGGTTGTCCGAAGTCCCGTTCTACGGGGTCGGAAACAAAATGAATAAACTACATCTTCTTTGCATTATGATCATTTATATCTCAAGATGTTTTCAACAGTAAATGTGGTTACAGGTGGTGTTGGCGACCTCAGACACGTCTGTTGGGTAGAGCTCCTCTCCAGCCCAACTGCAGGTTCCTGGACAACTCGACCCTGACGTCTTTGTAAGCGGGATCATCTGCTCGATTCCAGTTCTCTTCTGGGTCTTTTGTATGATCATAGAGTTCAACTCCCTCTAGCTGGTCCCACATCGGTTTAAAGATGGGCGTGCCCGTGAAATTGATCCACTCTGTGTATCGATACATGTCTGTCCTCATGCTGTAACCCATAACTACGTCATTATCAAGTGGGTCACCTTTTCTGGGGTACTGAGAGAATGCGGCAGTTTTCCAAGCACCCAGTGTCGGGTTTGTCATAAGTGGCATCATGCTTGTACCCTCTGTGCAGAGACTGACATTCTGGGAGTCTGGTGGACACTGCTGAATTTTTGGAAGTCCTGCAGCCTCAACGAGGGTAGGGTATAGATCAACAAATTCTGTCAGTTTCTCAGTGACAACACCTTGATCAGTAACACCTGGGACATGAATCATCATAGGAGCATGGACAGCATCTTCAAAATTCGTCTCCTTCTGCCATTCAGCATGTTCCCCTAACTGCCACCCATGGTCACCCCAGAACGATATTATTGTATTATTAGTCAGGCCCAAGTTATCCAGTTCGTCAATGACCCTACCAAGTTCGTGATCCATATAGCTTATACAGCTGTAATAAGCTTGTCGCATCTCAAGAGTAATTGTTTTCGGAAAGGTAAAGTTGATGCTACCAACATGTGGCATCAAGTGGTAGGGTTCCATATCTTTATAACTAGTCAGATTAATGAAATCATGCCAAGCAATAGCAGGCATTCCTACTGGAGCATAATAATTTGGTGGTAGCCTCAGACTTTCCAGAGGATAGTAATCCAAAAAGCGTGCAGGGAAGTTCCAGGGAACATGGGGTTTACGGAACCCCACAGCCAGAAAGAAATTTTTCTCACCTGACTTAGCTTTGGGGGCCACCTCCTTTAGTGCCTGAATGGCATACTCAGCAAGAAGCTGATCCTGGAGTGGTCGCGCTTTAGCTCTTTCCTCTGAGACTGCTTCAATAAGAAGATCGTTAGGTTTGTAATCATCGATAGCTTGAGTGTACGGATCTGTCCATGAAACAGGATCGTCATTTCCGGAGGATGGTCCTGGATGAAACACTTTCCCCATTCCGATGGTCCTATACCCGTTTTGTTTAAAATACTCTGGCAATGTAGTGAAATTACCTCCGTACTGACGGAAGTAAGGTCCGATGCGCCAAATGTGGCTTGTGTCAGGGCGCCTGCTGGTCAAGAGGGCCGTCCTGCTGGGACTGCATACAGCCACTGAGACATAAGCTCGCTTTAAGAGGAGGGATCTAGCAGCAAGCGCATCAATATTTGGTGTGTACATCGGTGGATGAACAGGAGATGGCATATCTGGTCCGTCGTAGGCACCAAGATTGGGTCTCAAATCATCTGAAACCAAAAACAAAATATTCTTCTTTGAATGGACTATTCCTTGGAGTGACAACAGTAGTATCAATATTTTGATCATACTTCTCGATGAATGCCTCAAGTATTTGACAAAAGCTGGAATCTTCACTGAGGACGAATTGAGCTGTTTGATATTTATATGCTACTTTATATCTAACTAGGACTGGTTGTGCTTGTTTATCGTTCTAAAGGGACGACATGCTTACCTTTATCAGTTGTGTGTTAAATTAAGTGAGAACACCTGGAGTTTTCCAAATATTTCAGATTGCAGAACATATTCCTTTTTTCATTTAACAACCTTGCCATGTCATTCATTCCTCAAAGAGTCGCACACTTATAGTCAACCGACAGCAAAATAAAACTTTAATTAAAAAATGTATTTTGACCATCTTAAATAACAAAACAGTAACTTGACAGGCCTTGACTTTTCCAAAAATGACTTGCAAATAAACAGTGTCCACTTTTTCCCATACGTGAATGGTAACTCAGAACTTCTGAATGTCGCTTCTTTTATAAGGGGCTTATGTGTACTGTGTCAAAATCCCCCAAAATCTTTCAAATCTTTATGGCATATAACATAACATATTTTGTATGAAAAGAATGTTCTTTGTTCTATCTGACATGATACGCATGAGTGTTTTGTCAAAACTTGTAGAAAAATAATTAACCTATTGTTTTAGCAAGATTTACAGATCAGTATCTGACACAAATTTACTTTTCCCAAAAAATATTTCAAGTCAAAATGTTTGGAAATAATTTCTGGGCCACCAGAAATGGGCTTCACACATTGTACCCATGTCGGAAATGGAACCCGGGTCTTTGGCGTGACGCTTTAACAACTAGGCTACCTGACCAAATCTGTACAAGATAGAGAGATTGTTGAACGCCTGTAAAGGCAGTGTCAAAATTTCCGGACCTTTTCCACAAAGCTCCATCATCTGCAAACTGATGTTTCCAAATCATTAAGCATGACATTAAATAATGTTGGGCTGATCAAAGTTCCTTGAGGTGTTCCATTCTCTAATATGTAAATATCCGACAGCGAAGTTCCAATCAAGCATACGTCCACAATCTTACACAGTTTTGTCACCAAACCTTCCCTCCACAACATGTTTTAGGCTTTTTCAATGTCCATGAAAACAACCATTAAATATTCAGTGCTACTTAGTGCCTTTTTAATGTCAGTTTCAAGTCGCACTAAATGATCAGCACAAGAGCTGTTTTTCGGAAAGCCTGATTGAACATCTAAAAAGAGATGGTTCTTTACCCTGAAGTAAACTATACAGTTATTAACCAATCTCTCCATTATTTTACACATGTTAGAGGTAAGAGCAATAGGTGTGTAGGATGTGACTTCAGTAGGATCTTTACCAGGCTTTGGAACTGGAAAAGGGAAGTTTGCCTTCAAACAAATCGTATTAAAAAGTAAAAGCATAGTTTCAAGGCTGATAAGTGGGAGATGATTTAAAATGTCATAACACAATGAGTTATCAACTGGAGAAGTATTTTTACATCCAGATATAGCTGAGAACTAAACATTCAGTCGTAATCAGTCAACAACCAGAAATCTTTATCATTTTTCTCCATACTTGTATTGATAGAACTGGTATAATCAGCCCAAGTCGAACGTTTTGCTTCAGTAATAGTTCTTTTTAGGTATGCGGAAGTGCGCCTATATTCGATTAAATCAGATGGTAAATTTTCAACAGTTGTCTTTGCCCTCTACTTAGCATCATGTGCTGATCGTCATCTGTCATCCAACAAACAGGCAGTTTAAGAGGACGTTTACCAGAACTTCTGTCTAAGAATCTATTGGCAGCATCAATAATATTAGAAACAAAGCATTTGTGAAACTGCTGTATGTAGCAGGTGTGATAGTGTCAGAGCACAAAGCAGTAAATGCAGACCAGTCAGCTTTAGAGAAAATCCACCGCTGAGCTGTATGCCTCAGCTCAGCGATTGGGTCAAGTTTAAGGTTGGTAAACACAGGATAATGGTCACTGCTAAATGGATCCTGCAAATACACTTCCCAATCACAATGTGGAGCCAGTTGTGAAATGACAATGGTCAAATCCAGGGTCGAAAATGAAGCAGAAGCCAAATCATAGCGTTGGGTCATAGAACCATCATTAAGGAGGAAAAGATTCTTTTCGTCAAGGGGTGTCTCAATGGCTTTACCTCCAGCATCCAACTTACTAGCTCCCCACAATGGACTATGACTATTATAATCAACACACAATATTTTACGATTGTCTGCTATATTGATGATATGCATCAACCAAGTCAACGAGCCTGATCAGCTGATCCCATTAGTCGCCTCTTACCACAAGCATGGATTGCTGAAGACCTTTTCTACCCCGGATCTTCACAGGCCTGTTTTAGCTGTTGGTGGTTGTTTATGGACTGTTGGAACCTGATCATGAACAATATCTAAATCTCCACGTACCTTACTAACAGCCTGAGAATACGCCAGTTTACCCTCAACTTTGACTTTCTGGAGCTGGATCGCTTCCTGGTATTTAATACAGCCTTTGTATGCAGCAGAGTTAAGCACCACTACAGTTCTTACATTTAAGAGAACTTTCATTGAACTCGTCATAAACTCAACAATAAAAGTTCCTGTGACACCAATATTTGTGTGTATTTCTCAAACAAGTAAAGTTTGGTTTTCAATATTGTAGTACATGTATGGAATCAAGTCACAAAAACGCAACTGCTACAGAAAAGCGTGCATTCCATGCAAAAGTTGACTTTTATGCAAGCTCCATGCATTTCACTACCCAAGAATGGGTACAAAAACATGTGCGTTAACGGGATTCCATATGCATTGTTTAGCATCGTGCTGACAACCACTCAGAAAAACAACAAAATTACGCAAGTATTCGACATTACGAAATACCACGCCTGTCCGAAAATGAGCGTCTTCGAGCCATTGGTATGCTTGAAGCAGGGTCGAGTCAACGTGATGTTGCAAGACAAATTAACGTCCACAGAAACACCATTTGGTGTTTATGGCAACGTTGGCAACAGACGAATGTAGTCAGAGACCATCCTCGGAGTGGCAGGCCACACATAACCAATAATCGACAAGACAACTGGTTTCAAACAACACACCTACGAAATCGATTCCAGCCAGCAACAGTGACTGCAAGAAGCATCCCTGGCCTTCGCCGAATATCTTCACAAACCGTACGTCGTCGCCTCAGATGTGTAGGGATTGTCGCCAGAAGACCCGCCAGACGTCCCATTTTGACGGGAAACCACCGTCAAGCACGTCGACAGTGGTGTAGACAGCGTCTACGCTGGACAGCCATGCAAGTTCTATTCACTGACAGTCTAGTTTTCACCTCAGCCACAGCGAGTGTACCGACGTCGAGGTGAACGTTACGTATATCATTGTCATGGAAGAAGATTGGTTCGGGGGCGGCCGCGTTATGGTATTGGGTGGGATTACAGCAAGACAGAAGACCCGTTTGATAGTGGTAGATGGAAATCTCAATGGACAGCGCTACCGCGATGAGATCATCGGCCCTGTTCTAACGTTTTTGCGTCGTCATGGCTTTACCTTTCTACATGACAACGCCCGGCTTCATATTGCTCGACTTGTACAGGATTCTCTTCAACAAAACAACATGAATGTCATCCCCTGGCCGGCTCGCTCCCCTGATCTCTCACCAATCGAGCACATGTGGGAAGAGATAGATCGGCGCCATCGACGTCAACCACGTGTTCCACAGACACTCCAGTAACTTCGAAACATGCTCCAGCAGATATGGACAGATTTCCCACAGGACTTTGTGCGACGCCTGGTCCATTCCATGAGACGAAGATGTTTTGCTTGCATCGCAACCAGAGGCGGACACACACGCTATTGATTTGCAATTTGATATTTTGGCATGTTCATGTTTTTTATGAAATCACGCATTTTCTGAAGTCAATATGTCAAATTAAACCATTTGAACACTTACATGAGTCTTTTATCTATTGCCAACCGAAATTATTTCAGATTTGGTAAAAAACATAACTGCATTAAATCTTATTCAATGTCACAGGAACTTTTGTGGTATAGTATATTTGTGCTTCCCATCACATTTAACGCACACATGATGAGTGCTCCTGCACTTTGCAGAGACATCTCCAAAGCACTGACATTTGAAGCAGCCAAAGCAGGAGGAGTATACATCCGGATTGGAAATCTCTTGAAGAAAATGGCAACATGACCTGGCAAGGACTGACCTGTAAATGTGAGTAGAACAGATTCTGTGCGAATTTTATCAGGTCTACGAGTCACAGCACAGCAGATCCCACAGCAGAGGTAAAACAGGTTTTACTTCTTCCTCAATTTCCCTCATCTCAACATCAAGATAAGTACCATGAATAACGGTAACGCGGGGGCATTAGTTGACAGAGGGTCGTTGAACTGTCATCATATTCATCTACTTCGGCTTTAATGATACAGTGGTTGACTTGACCTGAAATGGCTCATCAAAAACTAATGTAAGATCAGACCACACAGGAGGAGGGGCAGTATTTGGATGCTTTGTAACACAAGCATTTATTGAAGTACTACATTTGGAATACGACCGATTCGCTACCTTCCTGAAGCAGGCAATTTTGTTGTCAGCCATTGCCGAGGAAAATCCCCAACAGCCGACTGTAACAATCAGCAAACACTAAATAAAATTAAAGTTTGAA